ATCTCCGATCGTTTGTCATTATTAAAATCACCAGAAGCCATATCTAACGGAGGTGAATCAAAATCAATTTCATAACTTTTTTGAATTGTAAATTTTCCCTTCCCATTTCCAAGCATCATATCTGCATGCTTGGTACCATTATTGGCTAAAGCAATATCCACTTCGCGGTCACCATTGAAGTCCCCAACCGCGATGGAAATCGGATGAGAATTCGCGCCAGTGCTGAGCATCATTTGGTTTTCAAAACTACTAGTTCCATATCCAAAAAGGACGCCGATATTATTAGTGCCATAATTAGCTAAGATGATATCCAGGTTAGCATCATTGTTCAAATCACTAATCACTACGCATTGTAGGTTAGATCCACCGCCAGATGCATACGCCATTTTATATGTTATCGCTCCTCTTTTATATTGCAGCAGCACACTCACATCATGGCTACCCCCATTGGCGACAACGATATCTAGCCAAGTGTCGTTGTTGAAATCACCAACAACTACAGATCGTGGAGAATAGCCAGCTGAATACCTTGTTTCATTTTCAAAAGAACCGTTTCCATTTCCAAGAAGGACACTCACAGCATTGCTTTTCGCATTGGCGACAACGATATCTAGTCGAGTGTCATTGTTGAAATCACCAACAACTACAGATGATGGAGCAGAGCCAGCTGAATACCTTGCTTGATTTTCAAAAGAACCATTTCCATTTCCAAGAAGGACACTCACATCATTGCTATCCGAATTGGCGACAGCGATATCTAGTCGAGTGTCGTTGTTGAAATCACCAACAACTACAGATTGTGGAGCAGAGCCAGCTGAATACCTTGCTTGATTTTCAAAAGAACCATTTCCATTTCCAAGAAGGACACTCACATCATTGCTACCCCCATTGGCGACAACGATATCTAGTCGATTGTCGTTGTTGAAATCACCAACAACTACAGATGATGGATAAGAGCCAGCTGAATACGTTGCTTGTTTTTCAAAAGAACCATTTCCATTTCCAAGAAGGACACTCACATCATTGCTATTCACATTGGCGACAACGATATCTAGTCGAGTGTCGTTGTTGAAATCACCAACAACTACAGATGTTGGAGAATCGCCAACTGAATACCTGGTTTGATTTTCAAAAGAATCATTTCCATTTCCAAGAAGAACACTCACATCATTGCTATCCCAATTGGCGACAACGATATCTAGTCGAGTGTCGTTGTTGAAATCACCAACAACTACAAATTGTGGCCAAGAGCCAGCTGAATACCTTGTTTGTTTTTCAAAAGAACCATTTCCATTTCCAAGAAGGACACTCACAT